GGCTGTGGGGGAGGGGAAATGGAGCTATAGAAAAAAAACACAACAAAAATGCTTATTTATTGTGTTTAAATACAATAGTTTAAAAAACCACCTTGCTTTACTGCTACAGCTGTCATAAGACACTCATCTACCACTTCAAAAGAGAGCAGCCTAAGTGCTTTGAAATTCTCTTGTGATCCGGCCGCGATCGTATAGTGGTTAGTACTCTGCGTTGTGAAATTCACTTGTGATCCAACTAAAAAAAGCCTTCAAACCACTTTCCTTGAGGGAAATCGAAGCCTGGTGAGACCACTCTAAGAATGGGACAGATGTCAACGAATTGTAAAGGGGACTACATTTGGAGCTATGACATTGGCTTTTCTTGCTGGAAAAACAAGGCCTGAGGATCACATCTATATGATTAATATTGCTCGGAGGCAACCTTTGCAGTATTTATAAGCCTATAACAGTGTATTCTCTCTCATAGTTGTGTAGGTTGGCTGGGCTCAGCTAGGTAGTTTTCTCTGCTCCTTGTGGTCTCTCCTGGGCTTGCTCCTGTGGGTTCCTCTAGCTGGTGGCTGGGCAAGGCTGGAAGGTCCTAGAAGGTCTCTCTCACCCATGTGAGGCCTTAGCGCTGATTGTGGGCTGGGGTGTCCCTTCCCACAACAGGAGAGCCAGAACTTCCCTATAGCATGGCAGTTAGAGTCTGAGAGGAAACATTCAAGGGGGACAAGATCCAATGGGCAAATGCTTATCAAATCCTTGCTTGCCTCTTGTTAATGTCCCAATGGTCATAGCAAGTCACATGGCCAAGCCCAGAGTCAACATGGGAACGGATCACACAGGGATAGGAGTTCTGGGAAACATGGCTGGGGGCCGCCCATGTCACACTCTTCCACACCCTGCTGTATAGCAGAGCAACAGACTCATTTAGAGAACCCAGTGAGAATGCTCCTAATGGTGAGGTTCATGGCTGAGGGTCTGCACACAGAGCAGCAGAAGAAATTTGAAGGCTGAAGGTGTAGCCATTGCCACTGTCCATGGGGTCCATCTGTGGTCATTCTGGGCCATCAAAAGCCATGACTCTCAGGGGGGCAGGGTCTGATTTAGAAAGTTCAAGAATCCTGCCAGTGCCTTGTGTTTCATCAGTTTGGGAGCACAGAAGCCTGCTGTGGTGGAGAGTGACAAACCTTCTGTTGAGGTCACACCTCAGATATTCAGGACAGAATCTGGTTCTGTCATTGCACAAGTGTTGGTGTCATTGTGTCAGTAGCCAGGCTAAACCCCTTGTTGACTAGGAAAATGGGGCCTCTCTGCAAGGACTGAGGTTTTGGGGGTTGGGGCATCTTTCCTTATTCATCTGTCAGTTGTCATCCTTACCTCCCAAGGAAGTCCCCTACACTCAGTTATTTTTAATTTACAGCTGTACCCTCTTCCCCCTTCCTTTATTCTAACATGCTCTGCTCTTACTGATTTAATGTCTGTTCTACTGGCCTGTCAGCTCTGGGAATAGAGAAATCATGTGTTTTCCTCATCACCATATCTCCAGAGCCATGGATGTTGAAACCGAACATCGAAAACTGCTTTCCCTCCTTCCCTTCCACCACCTCTCCCTTCCCCTGCATCACCTTTTACCTCTGAAACCTCCAGCTAAGAAGCAGGACAGCGACCTCCATCACTCGGTCCCTCTGACCAAGGCCCCAGGTGAGATCTCTGTTGTAAGGACCAGTGGCCACAGGCTGTGGCGCTCAGCAGGAATGATGGGACCCTTGCCCTCTGCCAGACTCCTGTAACACAGATGTCAGCCAGGCCCTAGCTCCCTGTCCTTGGATGGTCACATGACACCGGCTCAAACTTCCACCCCAGGGTAGCAGGGCCCCCAGCCAAGTCCCCCATCTCAGTGAGGATTCGTGAAAGGCAGACATGTCACCATGTCACTCCGGCTGGGATTTCGTTTCAGTGAATCCTGGGTCTTTCAGCTGCCTCCTTCTCACTGTCCCACGTCTACCAGAGAGGCTCAGCTCCCCTACCTGACTTCTCCTGGACAGCATTCATTCAAGGCCATTACCTTTCTCATTAAAGATGCAGGGTGGCAAGTGTGGGGGTTACGTCAGGGAAGAGCACAGCAGGTAAAACAGACTGTCAGACATGACATTCGTCTTAAAGCCTCTGGTATCCCCTCGCCTGGGGCCCCATCCCTAACTGGGCATGTTCGCTGGTCTTCTCTTCTGTTCCCTCCAGACTCCACTTCTTCCTGGGTCCCTTTGCTCCCCTTCACCGCCCTCCTCCTCACCTTCCTCACACCTCATCTACTCCTCCTCCCAAAATAATCCTGCCTTCTTCCTTCTTCTCTTCCTCATCCTCCTCTACTTTCTTCTTTTTCTTCCTCTTCTAGTTCAAAGAGCAGTCCTTTTTATCTTTTGAAGGTTTTTATTCAACTTTATTGAGGCATAATTGAAGAACACTAAACTGCACATATTTAAAGGGTTCAATTCTCTGTTTTGACATGGACACACTCCTGAAAACATGACCTCTTCAACAACATCTCCATCACGCCCCCCAGTTTCCTTATGCCCTTTTTCATCCACTCCTTCATCCATCACAACCCCAAGCAACTGCTGATTTCCTTTCTCTGCGTATAGATTAGCTTGCATTTTCTAGAGTTTTGTATAAATGGAATCAAGCAATATGTTCTCTCATTTTTTTGCCTGGCTTCTTTCGTTCAGTATGATGATTTCGAGATTCTTCAATAATGTGTGTATTAATAGTTTGTCCTTATTCCTGGGTAGTATTACATCATATGCATATACCACTACTAGTTTATCCATTCATCTACTGGTGGATTTGGGTTGTTTCTGGTTTTTGGCTTTAACAAAGCTCCTAGAACATTCATGTACAAGTCTCTGGGTTTCATGCTCTCATTTCTCTTTGGTAAATACCTAAGAGTGGAGTGGTTGGGTCATATGGTAGATGAGTGTTTAACTTTTTAGGAAACTGCCAGACTGATTTCCAGAGTGGTTATACTGTCTCACACTCCTACCATCAATGTATGAGTTTCAATTGCTCCATATTCTCATCAACATTTGGTATGGCCAGTCATTTTAAATTTAATCATGTTGTTGTGGTTTTGTTTGTTTCAATGCACAGAGGTTTTGCTACCTCTTGGCTTCATTTCTACCAAGGGGGCACATATGTTTAGATGAACCAGATTAACATATGCTTAGATTAACCAGGTTATGTCTGCTGTGCCAGTGAAGTTAGTAGTGTCCCTTTTACCCTGTAAAGTGTCCTGCTTGTGTAATAAAATATGTGATTTCTCTACTTCTATTCCAACTGGTCATGCCCCCAGGCTGTCTGTCCACAGCCACAAAAGCTCAACAAGGCATTCTGCTCAACAAAGACTTTCCTCCTCTCCCAGGGATTTTTGTGCTTTTCCTGAACATTTTTTCTCATATCGCAACAGGATTACAGGAGGAAATGAGTGGCATAGATGTAGTTTAGTACTGGGGTTGTAGAGTTGGGTGGTAAATGGAGGGGATAGAAGGAGGGAGTCAGACCAGGTCCTGATGACATCATTTGAGCTGGATGCAGCCATGCTTGACATAAGCCCCATTCCTTAACTTTTGCACAGAACAACACAGACCCCCCCTCTTTTTTTGTTGTTGTTTTTTGTTTACGCTAGTGTAACTTGGATTTCTGTCACTTGCAATTAAGTCCTGACTAGTATGCACAGTAGGGGAATGTGCCTCAGAAAGGCAATAGCATTTTGGCCAAGCTTTGGCTGCTTCTCATTTCACATCTGAAGTACTCTCTGCCTTCCCTAAGAGTTACTGTTTTTGCTGACCTAGCCCTGGGAATTTAAAGCAAGGGCATTGGTCACATTGGTTAGGGGATGAAACTTCAGAGGACACTAAATGCCCAGGGTCAAAGTATTCAAAACTATCACCACATGGTTTGTTTAATCGAATACTCTAGCTACGTGTATCCGCTGTAATTCAGCAGGCTCTTTAATCTTTAACTAAATTGTCATTTAGTGGTATGATCCAAAAACCGTTTTGAATTTTGGTAAGCAATCTCCATTTCCAACTAGTATTTTCTGTCTCCTTAATGATTAGATCGCTATACGTTCAAACAAGCAACCCTATTAAGCGACGTCTTCGAACACATCTCTAAATAATCTGGTGCATGCCCTCTCCTAGCAGCACGGTGAGTTACTAACGTTGTTTGAGGACATTTCTCTGTGAGCAGTGCAAAGGTAATTCTCCAGTGGAAGAAAAGAGGAGGTGGAAAGCGGGGAGCAGAAGTTAAAAAGATCCAATTCAGCGCCCCCCCGCCCCCCCGGGAACGTTCTCAGCTTGACTGCAGAACTGAGCGAGGCCCCTGACACGCAGGGTCTCCGTCCCCACAAGGAGTGCCCAGATCCTGCCCCAAGCCCCAAAGATGATGTAAACTCAGGCTGGTGGCCTGGTAGTGTTTGCGTCTTGGGCGCCCCTCTCTTCTTTGGAGCTCTTCTTGCCGTAAAGCAGCTTGGCAGGTCTCGCCTCGGGCAAGACTAAACACCCTCCATCCCGCATATCCAGCCCTGGGTCTCTGGTAGCAACCTCCACTCAGGAGCTGCAGGACCCAGGGCAACCTCGGTGTGACCCGCCGCTGAGGCCTGAGCATCCGCCCCGCCCATTCAGTCCCTAAATCCCGCCTCAGCGTCCTCGGGGCCCACTCCCTCCCGCCGTGGCCCCGCCCCTGCGCTCCCGCATTCCATCTCCACCCCCACGCGCTCTGTCCGCCCCCGCGCAGCAGGGCCCCGCCTCTCACACTCCGCGGCTCGGCACTCCACCCTCTCGCGTTCTGGCCCCGCCCCCGCACTCCAGGGCCCCGCCCCCGCACTCCAGGGCCCCGCCCCAGCGCTCTCGGGTTCCGCTCTCCCGGGCTCTGGTCTGGCGCTCGGGCCCCGCCCCCCACGCTCCCTCTGGAGTCCCGGGGGGGGAGTTGCCGCGCGGGGGGAGGCGTGGCCGTGGTGCCGGCGGAGGCGCGGGCGGCGCGGCCAGGACTTTGGCTTTGACACGGACGGCGAGCTGGAGCTGTGGCTCTGGTGCTGGGCACCGACGCGATCCTGGCGGATCCCGCGTCCGAGCCGGGCGCAGGACTTTTCGCCTAGATCAACGCAACTGCGGCGACGCTGCAAGTCCTGGTGCAGCCTCAAGACTTGGTGCAGCCACGGCGGCCGGATTTCGCCGCCGCTGCCGCCTCCGCGCAGCCCTGCAGCTCTTGCCGGCTCCGGGAGAGCGACTCTGAGAGTTTCTCCCGCAGAAAGAGCCGGGACGCGCGGCCCGATGCGGCCCAGCCACTGACCCACACACGCGCGGGCACCAGGATTGGAGGCAGGGGGCCCGCGCAGTCCTGGGTTGGGCTCAGGCTTCCGAGCCGCAGGTGGAAGGACGCCCCGGGAGAGCAGCGGAGAGGTGGGGCGCGGGGACCGGTGGCGGGTCTGGTGGGGGTCGATAAAACCGCTTCTCGGTACCTGCACTAGTAAGGGCGGGATTCCCAAGTTGCAGGTGGTGCTGAGTGTCAGGAGGCGGGGTGGGCGTGGGAGATGCTCTCTCCCTCTGCCCGGGCCTAGGTGGGGGCGACCTAAGGGGGGATGGCCTTATGGCTGCGAGAGGTGAGAGAGGCAGGGACCAGAGATGTGGAGTGATGAGGATAGGTCTCTTTGCAAGAGAAGCAGCTCATAGCCTTTTTGGACCCCAATGTGACAAAAACCAGATCTCTCCAGAGGAAAATTCATATGGGCCAGCCTCGTGCGTGTTCAGGAGTTCACGGACAGCCATCAGCCTGGGACTCCTGGTTAAAACTCCTGCTCTAGTTAGGGAGTGCTAATGCAAACTGATTAACTGATTAAATCGATTTGTGTGTTTATTAATTTGTTTTACAGGCGGCCAAGTGAAAGGTACTTTTGGACACCCTGGGCATGGAGATTTAGTGTTTGTCTTTGGTAACCGTTTCATTCCCTGCATCCTGAACCTTCCCTCCTTCTGTGCCAGTAAGGTTGTTGGGCTTCCTCCCTAGCCAGAGAGTTCTTCTGCGGGGGTGAGGCCTTCCCAGGCCACTGACCCTGGCCGGCATGGGGAGCACGCTGGGCTGCCACCGCTCCATACCGCGGGACCCCTCGGACCTGTCCCATAACCGCAAGTTCAGCGCCGCCTGCAACTTCAGCAACATCCTGGTCAATCAGGAGCGGCTCAACATCAACACGGCCACGGAGGAGGAGCTGATGACCCTGCCTGGCGTGACCCGTGCGGTGGCTCGCAGCATCGTGGAGTACCGCGAGTACATCGGTGGCTTCAAAAAGGTGGAGGACCTGGCGCTGGTCAGCGGCGTGGGTGCCACCAAACTGGAGCAGGTCAAGTTTGAGATCTGCGTGAGCAGCAAGGGCAGCTCTGCGCAGCACTCTCCCAGCTCCCTGCGGCGGGACCTGTTGGTGGAGCAGCAGCCTCACCACCTTGCCACGGCCGTGCCCCTAACCCCGCGTGTCAACATCAACACGGCCACCCTGGCTCAGCTGATGAGCATTCGCGGCCTCACGGAGAAGATGGCTGTCAGCATCGTGGACTACCGCCGCGAGCATGGGCCCTTCCGCAGTGTGGAGGACCTGGTGAGGATGGGCGGTATCAATGCTGCCTTCCTCGACAGGATCCGGCATCAGGTGTTTGCAGAGAGGTCCAGGCCCCCGTCTACCCACACCAATGGAGGCCTGACCTTCACCGCCAAGCCTCACCCCAGCCCTACCTCGCTAAGCCTGCAGAGTGAGGACCTGGACCTGCCACCAGGGGGGCCCACCCAGATCATCTCCACCCGCCCTTCCGTGGAGGCCTTCGCAGGCACAAGGGATGGGCGGCCAGTGCTGAGGCTGGCCACCTGGAACCTGCAGGGCTGCTCAGTGGAGAAGGCCAACAACCCTGGGGTGCGAGAAGTGGTGTGCATGACACTCTTGGAAAACAGGTGAGGGCGGGAACCCCCAGGGGCCTGGGGTGTGAAGGCACTTCTCGCATGGCCTCATCTGTGCATGCAAATGAGTGGACTTTTTTTGGGGGGTAGGGAGAGGGCAAGATTATCCAATCAGTGTTCTTGAGGCCCCAGCTGATACTGTCACCTGTGGCTGCGCTCTCCTGCTCTAGAATGTTCTGAATACAGCCATTTGGGCTTGTGGCGCATATCTTGAACATGGTATATCTGAGGTCAGTTCATAATTTTGGGGTAAGTGGAGATTATGTTGGTGTTATTGCTTTGGAGAATGTTGTTTGACTCAGAAGACTTCGTGGGGTTTACACCAGATCAGGCGCTCAGAGGCCTGGGAACTACTGCACGGTTTTGCATATGAGAAAGAGCTGGTTGGATTTTTTTTTTTTTTAATGAGAGGGAAAGTGACATTTGTCTCACCAAATATGCCCATTTGTGTGCACAAAATCATCTGAAAGGCCAGGTATTTGCAAACACTATATGCTGTGTATATTCACCAAAATGCTGTGAATGAATCACTCCTCATTCTTTTTCCTTATTTAGCCTGAAGTTGGTGTTCAGGCCCACAACTGCAGCCCCAAATGTATATAACCTCTCTTGTCCCGTAGCCAGGAAAGGTCAGGCTGACATGTGGTGAATATTGCCCAGATTTTCCCATTTGAACCCCAGGGGAAGAGACTTGTAGGAAGGGCTCTTATCCCAGAGTGTTTACATTATTCACAACACTGCTCTCTGTAGGAACTTCCGTTAACTCCCCCCCCATAAAACAAAACAATATGATTGTAGCAGTAACTCCTGCTGTTAGTAAAATAGTGTAGTGTATCATGTAATCAGCTTTAGGAAGGAAAGAAATATTTTTAGTGGTCTTCTCTCCGTCAGAAATCCTCTGATCCTGGTCTTGAGGGATTGTGCCCTGCCACTCGCCAGATGTGTAGTATGTTTGTGGCCACCAGCTACTTTTCCTTTGCACCAGCTTGTCAGTGAGCCTGGTGGGGTAACAGTTCAGTGACATGAAGTGAGTCCTCAGCGGGCAGTCGCAGTGCATTGTGGCAGAGCATCAGGATAAATGAGTGAGGAGGAAACCAGGTCACACCATTTCCCTGGCACTGTCCCCGTGGCACACTCTCATCCCAGGACCGAGGGATCATGCAGCAGGGCAGAGAACTGGACCAGGAGAGCTCCTGAGCACTCCTCCTGCACGGCTGTGTCCTCCGTTTTGCACTGTAGCTCACTCCTTTTGCACAATCACCTTGTACACAGGCGAGAACTCGACTCAGCGCTGGGTGGTATTTATCAGGAATGGCTTGGTAATTGTTCTCCTCATCCATTAGCAGCATAGGTGTGTGTATGGGAAAGGCAGGGGGGCGGGAGAGGGAGGGATGGCTGTTTAATTCCTATCCTGAGTTTTCTTAAGGCTCCATTTGGGGGGTCAAGGGGGATGAATCAGGATCTGAAGTTGCCCCAGGGAGAATGACAGACCGGGCAGCTCTTGCCCATTTACTGTGACAGTGGTTTTTCAAGTGTGGTGTCTGGACCAGCATCAGTATCAGCTACTGACTCAGAAACCCTGGGTTTCTGTGTTTTCACACACCCTCTGGGTGATTGCAATACACACTGAAGTTTGAGCCCCATCGTACTATCTGTTGGGCAATCAGCTGTCCTTGTGGTTTGCTCTGTAAGGAGGTCCTCCTGTACTGGCTTTTCCGACAAGGTCTGTGAATCCACGCAGATCTTTACAGGTGCTATGTTTTCTTTGATTGTTCTGATCATCCCTGTAGTTGTTCAACCTCACGATGCTCTTTCTGGCCAGAGTTTGAGGGACTTATTCCACTTCTAGAACAGACGAATGTGATGGGTAGGAAATGGGAGAGAGAGCAGGGGCGGTTGGCCTCAGAGTGGGCTGTACTCTGCAGTGTAGACTTGGGTCAGCCAAGGGCACACTGAGGGGAGCACTAGCAACTCTCATCCAGCCTGGAGTTAGGATTTGTCCTGGTGTTTCTTCTTTGGATTTCCTGGAGGGACGGTGATTTGTTGAAGACATTTAACTGCTGTCCTCCGGCAAGGGTGCTAGAAGAACTTACCTGGACCTGGTAGGATGGGGAAGGAGACACCTGTAAGTAACCAGGAAGGTGACCTATATCCCCATCACGTTTCTCACACTTGGCCACCTATGTTGTCCTGTGGCTTAGTGGTTTCTTTTGCCTGTTCACAATGTGTTCAGAGTGTTCTGGGCACTCCGAGCATCTTATTAGTGTCCAGTCAACATACGGTAATAGGCTTAGGGCTTGATCCCCTGTAGAGCTAGAGTGGACCCATGTCTGTGTGACTGTCCCAGGACACCCAGACATGGCTGCCTGTTCCTGAGTGGGGCACATGTCCTCAGAACAGCAGTGCACATTCCCCAAGAGCTGTGTGTTCATCCTGATTCACAAAAATCTCTCACATTGCAATTGATCCCTTTATTAGTAAGAGGAAATGCATGTAGTTTGAGCAAGAATGGATGCTGCTAATTTTCTAGGTGGTTCTTATTTTCCTACACATGTATACACAATACAGGTCTTCTTGGTATTTTCTGATAATTCCATATTCATTTGGTTTCCCCATTAACTCAGAAAGTAGGTAATGCTTGTTTTTTATTAACGATTATCCATCTCTGGGAGAGGAGACTAAAACCAAAGAAGTGAAGTGACTTGCGTCCGTCCCATAGCTCATTAGTGACTCAGCTGGGACGAGGACCCAGACTTTCTCACTTTAGTCCAGTGCTCTTTGCAGGCACGCTGTGTTTTGTAAGGACACTACCTTTACCCTACCTCTTGTTGAGGCATCCCACCCTCTGCCCAGTCAAGGGCACTTGCCAATTTGTGTGCTAGTCACATTTAAGAAAGAAATCCATTATAAAGGCATTAAAAAAAAAAACAAAACAACAAAAAACCTTGGCTCCACCTTTTCTGTATAAAATCGGTGAAATTCCTTAACCTTTCCAAGTCTCAGTTTTTCCATCTGTTAAATGTAACTAATGAAAGAAAAAAAAACCCTTGAAAAAAAACGAAAGAAAAGGGAAAAAGCGAAATAACTTCTTTTGTAAAGGGAATAGCTAGCTGGCTCTTCATTTTCCTTTCTGTGGCTTTGCTTTAGTAGGTACGTTTTCTTCGACTAAAGGGTGCTGGGGTGGGACCCTCGGGGTAGAGCCCTTTCTTGCCCTGAGAGGTTGCTGCTGGGTGGACGAGCATGTATGAGCTATGAGAAACCAAGTTTTGCATGAAGACTGAAGTAGGACACCAGAAAACTAGCTAATCATACAATTACCAGGCGCTTCAAGGACATCACCCTGTGGCACAGAGCTGACAGTTTTCATCGGATTCCTTTGCCAAATCTCAGTCTTAGGCCATGTTTCTCCTTGTTCAGTGTTTATGAGGCAAAGCAGAAAGAGGAATGCTTCTGCTAAACATCCTTGCAAAATTTGGTAGCAGCCCACATGTGGAATGAAGATTAATTTTTAATTTTTGCTTTTTGCTGAGTAGCTGTTCTATTTTGAAAAGTCCCTTTGGTTTATGGAAGCATAAGCCCTGGAGGAGCTGACTTTGACAATCTCCAAAAAAATAAAGAGGTTTCATATCCCACTTGCACATTTCCCCATGGCCTCTCTCAGAAGGGAACCTGTCAAAGTCTTCCACCTTGTAATGCTCTAAATCTGTTTTCTTGCTACATGTCTGTCTGCGGCATCAAAGCACAAGGTGAATTAGTACTGATTGTGAGGAATGGAATTTTGGTTGATCAGACTTGATCAGTAGGATCCATGTGGACACAAGCCATCGTGTCGTTTGATTCATTCATTGAAAACTATGTATGGAGGAGCTGCTGGGTACATGCATATGCTAAATGCAGGAGTCAGCTTGGCCTGTTATTTAACTTGAGTTAAGTAAATATGAATCAGCTTGGGTGGCTCAGTCTCAGAATAGTCTGAGAAACCCAGATTTTTTTGGAGGGGGAGGGAAGTCACTGAGTGTGACTGATTTTGAGTTGCATTTTTTTTTTCCCCTCCGAATAATGGGCTTATCCTGGGCGATCGAAAGGTGGGTAGATGCAGCCAGACAAGATCTGAGGCAGAATGGCCAGAATCTTCTTAAAGCAGAAATTCTGAAAACTGTTTTGACTGTGGAAACTGAGGCTCAGAGTGATGAAATAGCATCTGTGTGGCCTTCAGAAATGTGGATTGGGGTCAGGATTTGAAGCCAGGCTTTGTCTGATTTTAGGGTGGGGAGTGGAAGTGTCTCTTCCCAAACACCGTATCCTTTGACCCTTGGCCCACCTGCTGTTTCCTCCCTGTCTTGGGCCTTAGGGTGGACAGGCACCAGGGCTTCACCTAGACTCCTAGGGCTCAGTCAGGCTCCCTTCCTGTTTTTGTTCCTCTGAAGGACAGGGCTGATGGCCAGAGGTGGAGCCATCCAGAGGGCGTCAGGGCCTCTCTACCCGACCCCTCAAATGTGAGTCTGTGACCTTGGCTCAACTTCAAGGTAGAGTTCCAGTTTTGTGAGCCAAGGAGTTCTGGGTGGTTTCCAGAGGGAAAGGTGGTCGGTAATAAGACTGCTGTTGGTTAGTAAGAGGAGATAGTATGACTGAAGGGAAGTCCTGGTGTGTGCATGAGGCAGGCTTTGTTTTACCACAGGGAGAGATGTTAGTTTGTCGTACAAGATGGGCCCATTTGGGGTCTGATTTGGGAGGTTTGATGGTATTGCTTCTCCCAGGGGATATTCATTCCTCTATTACTTATTCCTTCAACAGGTACTTTTTGAGCTCTCACTAAGTACCAGGTTCTGCATCAGACTCCTAATAACAAGACAGTCCCTGCTCTCATGTTAGGTGGGGAGACGGACAAATCAATACCTAGCAGATAATTACAGATAGTGGTGAATGCTGAGGAAGATGGAGGCGAGTTGAAGAGAAGCCTGCTGAGGTGGATGGGGGTCAAGGAAGGCCTCAGC